GAAGGCACCTCAAAGAAGTCAAGTCCAATCCCCTGTGCTGTTGCATGGCTAAATAAACCTTGATCATCCCTGACAGGTGTGTGTTCAACTCGTTTTTAAAAGGTTCCAATAATGGGAATTCCACAACCTCCCTTGAAAGCCTCTTCCCTAGAGCCCTGAAAATCCACAGATATCTGCAGTTATTCGTGGTTCATTTTTGTAGATGCAGATTGAAATTTTGTGCCTAGAACCTTGCAAATTTATGGATATCTGCTTTATATCCATGGGTGTCTGCATCCGTGAATGTTTGCGGCACATTTTTACAGATACAGATGCAGCTGAGGATACACATTTTGTGCAGGGCTTTACCTATTCCAGAGCTTCATTGGCCTGATAGATATTAGGAAAAGCTTTCCAACTAACTTAAATCTTCCTTACTGCAGATTACGTATGTTAGGCCTGGTCAACACAACAGCGGAAGGTCGAATTAAGATACGTTGACTCTAGCTATGTATCTTAAATCGAATTTCTGCGCCATCCACATAGTGGAAGGCTGATGGGAGCAAATGCTCCCATCGGCTTTCCTTTCTCTCCTCATGGGAAGCAGGGTTACCGGTGCGGACAGGGATGCCCTCTGAGTTCAGTTTAGTGGGTCTTCACTAGACCCACTAAATCAAACCCTTGATCAACCACAGCAGCATCAATCTTCCACGTAGTGAAGACGTGGCCTTAATGTCTTCAGTGGACATGGAGGTTAAGTAGTCACTTCCTCTTTATAACAGTCTTCCAAATGTGAAGGGCTGTCAGCCTCCATCCCCCAGTCGTCTTTTCTCAAGACTAAACATGCCCGATTTTTTTTTAAACCTTTATTCATAGTTTAGGTTTTCTAAAAACTTTTATCGTTTTTGTTGCTCTCTTCTGGAGTGTTTCCAATGGTCTACATGCTTCTGAAATTGTGGTGCCCAGAAGTGGACACAGTACTCCAGCTGGGGTCTTACCAGTGCTGCGTACAATGGGACAAATTCATTCTGTGTCTTTTATATACAACACTTTTTTGTTATCACATCCCAGAACGATTTCCACTTTTTATGCAGCTGCATTATATTGATGATTCACGTTCAGTTTGTGGTCCACTATATCCCCAAGATCCTTTTCAGCAGTACTTTGACATTTTGTAGTTGTACATTTGATTTTTCCTTCCTAAGTGAACTACTTTGCACTTGTCTTTATTGACTTTAATCTTGACACTTAGTAATCAATTTGAGTCCAAGATGCTTGAAAGGGACAGTTCTCCAACTGTCTCTATCACAGAACATGGGTATCTGCTGCACCCTAACCCCAGACTTCTGGTTTGGGAAGATAAACAATGTAAAGGGAGCATTCTAAAATCCACAGTCTGTAGCTAGTAGGACCACTAAGTTTCTCTTGTCCATTGCTTCTTGGATCATATGGGTTCACTTAAGCACTTTGTTCCTGGGCGAGAACCCTACTCCAGTGTTATATGCAGACAACATTCCATTTCAGAAACAAACGTATTTATGTACTTCAGCAATGGGATTTATCAAGAACTATTCAGTTTAAATACAAGTGCCAAAATAGAGGCTAGACATGATCTTTAAGGACCAGTTTTTGAGGTTTCAGGGTCTCCCTGCACATAGATTATGAGGCTTAAGGCTAGAGAAAAAGGCTCTTAAACTTGGCCAGGAATAGGCTATTGTTTCCTGGAAGGGATAGTATGTGACAGCCAAATTACAGTGTATCCAAGAGGGAATAAAAGAAAATGTTGAAGTCATCTGTGTAGACCACGTGTACAAGGAGTTTAGTGGTGAAGAGAGGAGAGGGAAATGAGACAAATTAAGACAGAACGGGAGTCAAGATGCTGTGTAACTCCCAGTTTTTTTAGAATTTGTTTTTCCTTTTAATTATTTACTTTCCTATCTGCAACTGAAGTCTGAATCTTGCAGAGATTTTCTGCCTGGCAGAGAGGATTATTTGTGTTTAGGGAGCAAAGCAAAGTGGTGTTTTTTGTTGTTTTTCTTTTTACTGCAAAATGCTAGAAATTTTCACATTCAGCCAAGCAGAACTGGTGAAAGGCCAAACATGTACCAGTTTTGCTTTGGGTATGGAAATATTTGCACAGCTTTCATAAAGACTTAGATTTTCAATTCACAAGAGAATATCCCTGTTGCTAAGCCCTTTTGTATTCTGTGTGATAGCTCTACTGATGTGCCATTAACATTTGATGGTTAGCAAAAAGCATGTTTTTGAAGTAAGCTGTCTTAATCAAAGAGGGTGACCATGAGGAATGCTGCAGGAAAAAAAGCCTATTGTGGCTAAATAAAACTTCATTGGGGAGGGAATGTAGATTAATCTCCTCACACGTTGACCTACACAAATTAGTGCGCAACTACAATCCTGGTATAGTTAGGAGGTAAATAGTATTTATTTTGTATATTGCAAAGCGTAAGCTTTGCAGTTGGCTATGAAATCAAGGGGACTGGTTCTAGTGTCTCTCTCCTGTAAATTTGGATTAATTCCAATGGAGTTAATAGTTATATCAATGCAATAGTGATGTGAGGTCAGTCCCCATCCCAAGATCTCTTATCTTGAAGTGCTTTCAGTCTATATATTATGTCATTTTCTAGGATGCTGTAGGAGTTATTTATAGAGCCTCATAATCTTGTTCTTTCAAACATTGCAAGAGTTTTCATTCAATAGAAACTTGAGATTGGCTTAAACCAGAAGCCTGTGTCTGAATATTTGAAGATTGGATGTTATCAAGACTGTTCCCATTCTGGCACTCTGAGTGCAGAAGGAGGGGGTCTGCAAGAGACCTTAAATACCTTGCCTCTATAGTCTTCTGCTAAAAAAAAAAATTGCCCCAGTCACAGATTCCCTGGCCTGGGGCGATAGGCTGCCACCATCAATGAAAACTCCTTCTTCTTGAACCTAGGAAGAAAGTACCTGAACTTCTTCCAGAGGGGTTACCCCCAAGCTCTTTTACAACAGGGGTGTGTCTAAACTACACCCCTCTGCCGACAGAGGGATGCAAATTAAGCACTTTGAAAGTGCAAATGAGCCCGGGATTTAAATATCCTGGGCTTCATTTGCATACTCATGTTCAGGCGCTGTGCTGATCACATGCCCTTTTGAAAGTGAAAGTACAGTCTAAGATCCTGTACTCCAAAATGAGGCGTACAGGGTCTGCTGAAAAAGGTCCCCACTGTCGGCAGAGCCGCGGATAGACTTTACTTTCACTTTCAAAAGGGCGTATGCTTGGCACAGCGCCCGAACATGAGTATGCAAATGAAGCCCAGGATATTTAAATCCCGGGCTCATTTGCACTTGGAGGAATGCAGGAATGGAGGTAGCCCAAGAGTGCCTGGAAAAAAAAGAGAAAACAATCTGCAGTCTGATAGCTGACCTCAGTCTTAGGCATGCATATTCAGATCTCCTATTCCTTCCAGGATATAATCAAATCATAGCCTTAAAAAGGTGATTTTTATTAACAAAACTTGGTAAAGCATACTAGGTGTTATAAAGCAACTGAGAAAGGAACAGATTAAAACACAGAGAATTGTATCTCTGGGATTGAGAGTAATACAGTGTATGGGACAGAGGAGGGGAGAGGCAGATGGACTTAGAGAAGTTTAACCAAACAACAACAAAAATCTGATAGTGAATGAAATATCTATTTAAACACAAGCTACTTACAGATTGGTGCTTCAAGGTCCAGTCCATTTTCATGCCCTTGTAGGCATGGTAGTTCTGCCCCAACTCCCAGCTTAAAACTCCCACAAAGAAAAACAGCGGGCAGGTATAACTTCCAATTAAAATTTCAACACATTTTCTCATTGGCTCTCCTGGCTCCCTGCCAACACCTCTATGCTACCTGAATTTAACCCTTTAAATGAATGCTGGCTAGGACTCCTGTCCATCATAGATGTTCTTCTAAAAGTTATGCTCTAGGAATTATTTTGGGGCAGTTCTGTGGTCTATTATATAGGAAGTCAGCCTAGATGATTACCATGGATCCTTCTGGCCTTGAATTCTATGAATATCCACCAAAATTTGTGATGATCAAATCTTAACCTGGTTTTGAATTAAACTTTACAAATGGGTCCTGTCTGTCTTCTTGACAGACTTGAATTCAAGTACCTTCTAGTTTAGGAGTGGACCTGAAACAACACACAGATTCTGTATTTTGCACTCCATGAATGATGCAGCTGAAAAGTTGGGCTCATCCCAAGTGTTTTAAAGTAAACTGTAAAGTAATGGAGGATAAAGATATTTGGCTTTGGTTTTTCATAGTGAAAATTGTTATGTTTTAGTGGAATCAGGTTAGATAGTCTATTCTAACCTACAGTCTAGGTTTTCTGTACATTTCATCCATAAGTTCCTAGTTAAAGGTAATGGCTGGTTGATTTAGGGCTTGAGTGGCAAAAACACTGTCAGGGGAAGAATAGGTTGCCATGGTGCAAATCTGAATGTGTCTGTAAGGAATTACTTGGTCAAATGTTAATGAGGCAAGTGCAGCCCCCAAAATGGGGGGCTTTGAACTGAAAAAGTATATATCCAGGGTTGGTAGGGGTTGTGCTGATTCATTGTGTTTTCCTCATCAGTTTCCACTTGTGGAAACATGCGGAAGATGGAAGCTGAAACATCGCCTGCCTTCATTTGGAGCGAATGCCTCATGAAACATAAAAGGGCCTTGTCAATACAAGGAGGTTATAATGTACATCTTTAATCAAGAATCTGACCCCATTTTATGTGTATTACAGATTAATGTATAGAATACACCAACAACTGAATTAGTGTGGGCGTTTTTTTGCCTGCATAAGGGCTGCAGGATCTAGAATGAATGTTTCAGCCCAAGCATATGTAAAAATATAGATGACTATTTAATATCATTAACCATTTTTTGTACTGAAACTTTGTTTGAACAGTTTTTCTTTATTACCAGTTCTTTTACACTGAGGTGTGTTTGTTCTTTAACTATTAATGTACCATTTGATTACCAGGCATCAGAAGAAGTGTCAAAATCACTGCAAGCAATGAAGGAAATTCTGTGTGGTACTAGTGACAAGGAGCCACCTACGGAAACAGTGGCTCAATTGGCGCAAGAATTATACAACAGCGGCTTGCTAGTGACACTTATAGCCAACTTGCAGCTGATAGATTTTGAGGTAGGTCAATATTAGATCTCTGAAAATACAGGAATTCCATCTGTTTGATCTTGATATAGCCACTTAAACTTTAGGAAACTAAAACTAAACTAACTGACTTGTGTAGCTAGGCATTCCCAATACTCACTTTCATTATAAACTTTTAGATATTCTGAAATATGAGTTTTTTTCCAATAGAGCATTCCTCTGTTATGTAATGATCAATATGCTGGTACACGGGTGCCCATGCCCTCTCCATCGGACACATGATGCGCTAGATCCGTGGTCCCCAACACGGTGCCCGCGGGCGCCATGGCGCCCGCGGGGGCATTTCTCTGCGCCCGCCAAGTGCTCAGGGCTGGCCTGGCCCCGGGCACGTGGCGCATGCGCGGTGCCGGAGCCAGCCCCGGGCGCGTGGCGCACGG